GAAGCCCCAGTTTGCCAGAGCCATCTTTCTAGTGGTTGGTCAAGGATATCAGAGGAGGGGGCAGGGAGGGCATCCTGGGGGCTGGGAGGCAGAGGGACTCACCGAGGTGGGGGCACAAGACCGAAGGATCCCGAATGGTAACTATGGTAACAGCCAGAGGAACTGGCCTCTTTTGCTACCACAGAGCCTGATCCCCATATGGAAGGAGGGCGTGGCTGGACAGAGGTGGCCACCTGGGGGTAGGGGGGCAGGGGCAGGGGAGCATCAGACAAGACTGCCCATTGGACAGGAAGATACATCCAAGAGGTTGATCATACAGCGGCACACATCCAGGCTGAAGCCCTTGGTTCTGAGGTTTTTGACTGTGAGGGACGGGGAGTAGGGGAGGGAGGAGAAGAGGAGGCATGAGCAGGGCACATTCGGGATGTGGGAGCCAGGTGGTTAAGGTGGGGGTGCAGGCTGCGGGGAAAGGTTGTGGGAGGGAGGGTGGGTGAAGACTCACATTTGGAGACCACCTTGTTGAGCAGCCTCTGTAGCTCATACATGCCTATCTCCTTGCCCTAGGAAGGGGGACCATGAGCCCCTGCTCTGGCCCCTTCAGCTCCCATCCCCCTCCTTTCAGCCTCAAGCCTTCTGTCTCTCACCTCTCCACCTGCCACTATATGAAACAAACGTATGAAGTCCTGGTCTATGTCATTCTCGGAGATGTTCTCCTGGAGGAAAAGGGGTGGGACTGGCACCCAGTCTAGAGTTCCTCCACACCCCCACACACTTCCTCCAATCCCCCAACCCCACAGCCTCCCCTCACCTCTTGGAGAAGCTCGGCGCAGTTGGCTTCATCCAATTCCCTGAGCAAAAGTGGAAGAAGGCTTGGAGTTAGCAGGGGTCGGGGAGCCAGGGATTCTGGTGGGGTGGTCGGGGACGTCATGTCATGTGCTGAGGTAATAGGGGACGGGCTCCGAGGGATCTGGGTTCTGGTTCTGGCTCTGCTACTACCTGGGACTTCGCCACCCGATGCCTCAGTTTCTCTGACTGTGAATTAGGAACAGATTTAGGGGGAGGGGACCAGATGACTGCTCCCTGCACTTGACTTCCTGCAGCTCTGGGGCAGGTGGCCTTGGAGAAGTGAGGTGGGGCCCCTCACCAAGACTCGCTGTGCTTCTCTGTGAAGACGCGAAGCAGGAAGTCAGCATCCTTGTGGGGCTCAAAGGTTGAGGGAATGATGATATAGTCCCCGGGGGGCAGCCGGAGGTGGCTGTTCACCTCGCGCGAGTTGGTGAAGATCTCTGAGAAGCCGAGGTCCTGATACTTCATGAAGAAGTCCTTTTTCAAGTGGATGTCCTGGAGGTTCTGAAACTGTATGTGTCCTGGAGGTGGGTACAGGGCCCACAAGGGAGGGCAGGGAGACAGGGACCTCCACGGTGAGGCCTTGCTGGGCAGGCTTGTGGGGGGGCCTGGATGCCACCCCCAGCTTCCCTCTCTGACTCCCACCCAGGGCCCAAGGGTGCTGGAACCCTGACCCAGTGTCCCCCAAAGCCCTTCACCAAATTCCACCCCTGGCTCATGCACGTGCAGCTGGAGGTGGGGTGGGTGTCTGCCCAGGATCAAGCCTCACGTCTTCTGTACCTCCTTAGGGACCTGGGAAGAGAAGAGAGAAGAGGGTCAGATCACCAGGATGGTGAAGGAGCTCAGGCCTGTGGAAGTCAGAGGTGTGCGCGTGTACATATGTGTGTGTGTGTGCGCATGCGTGCGTGTGTGCGTGCGTGTGTGTGTTGGAGATGTATAGGGCACCGGGGCGCTGGTGGTGGGGAGGGAGGGACGTGGGCTCTGACAGCTGAAAGTCCCAGCATTAATCATCCTTTGGCTTTGCACAGCAAAGTACAGTTAACACGCAGTTTTGCCAGGGGAAATTTTTACCGCTGCAGGTTAAGGATGGGAAACGGATTCCCCAGAGGTGAGAGAACTTGCTCAGCCTAACACTGCTGAGCAGTGGAAGAGCTGGGATGAAAATCTGGGGGTGCGTTTTCCATGGAGCTCTGACCTCCTGCAGGCAGTTAATAGGGGATTATTGAAGTTGAGGAATGAGCACACGTAAGCTTATAAAAAGGTGGGTTAAACCAAGATAAGTAGGTTGCTCTCCTGTAGAGATGACCAGAGCCTGTAAGATGCTGATGGCACTGTGAGACTCGGGTAGGGGTAGAGAAAAGAGGCCTTTCCGGAAGGGCCAGGTTTGACCTTGGAAATGACTTCGGGTGTCTCTGTCAAGCTGGGGGACTCACAGCCTAGGAGGAGAGCAAGGCTCGCATATGCTTTTGTTCACGACTGAGGCACTGGAGGCTGGATAAGTGAATGGATGAATGGGCATTCCTAGGATTTTGCAAAGCACGGGCTGGGAAACACTCGTCGGGGATTTCTCTTGGCTCTTAGATTCCACGCTCGTGTTGGGGCATCTGCAGGGAGGCTTGAGGGTGGTGCAGGGGTCTCGAGGGCCTGGAAACCAGGACCTGGATGTATAAGCTTGAATGAGTGACCTCACTTCTCTGGCTCCCAATCTCCATCCTCTTCATTAAAGGCGTTACTATTCAAAAGGACTTTGGAACAAAGCCTGGCACAGAGGAGGTGCTCCCCAAGTGTTTCAGATTTTAAAAAATCTGAAAACTACCAGCCCTGTCTCGAAAGCACAATGCACCACTCAAGAAAGAGCCAGGGCTGTGGAAGCAGTTGGAAGGGGTCCCAGTCCAGGCTGGGGGTGCGGGGCAGTGACCCCTGGGGGAACAAGAGTGACTGGGGGACAAGCTGGGTGCCCACCGGGTAGATGACAAAGCCGATGGTCTGCAGCTGGGCTCCGCTGGGCCTTGCCTGCCTCCAGTTCTTCTGCATGAGGGCCACCAGGCAGGTACAGACAGCTTCTATGTCCTCCGGGTCGTCATCCTCCTCGGGGAGTGAGATCTTAAACTGGGGGTTGGTCCAAAAGGTGTCTGTGGAGGAAGCAGGTCAGAACGGCTCTGCCCTTCCCAGGAGGGCCCAGCTTCCCAGCCACATGCCCGCCTCCTCAACAGGGCCCAGTGGGATCAGCTGGACCCTGACCCCTGTGACCCTGGGCCCCCTGAGTCCCCTCGCCTACCCACCGAGGTTGCTCCGGGAGCCCCCCGCGGTGCTGCCCCTCCGCCAGCTGCCCTCGTAGAAGGTGGTGTGCCAGCAGCTCTTGTGGTCCTCGGAGAGCATGTCAGGGATCAGGTTGCAGACCTCCAGGAGGGTGAAGTTGTCCAGGAAATCTTGGTAGGACATCCTGGGGTGGAGGGGGATCCAGGGCCCATCAGTGGCACACCCACACCAGAGGTGCCCCCTGGAGCCTCCACATCCAAGGCATGGGTGGGAAGGTGGTGGGGAGATGAAGGGACTGGGTGTGGGCACAGGAGGAGGTCCTGTTCAAGCAGCACCAACCAGAACTCCCCGTCCTCCTTCCTGTGCAGCAGCTGCCTCTGGATGTCTGGGGTCACCTCTTCCCACTCCTTGGCGCTGGAGCAGAGACAAGCAGTGGAAGGGGAGGGGCCGAGGGTCTAGAGGCACCTGGTTTCTCCCCCAGGGGTTCCCTCACCCCTGAATGTCTGCCTGCTGGGGTCCTGGTTAGATGCAGAGTCTAGAGGGGAGGGGCTCACCCTGTGCGCAGGTGTCCTCCCAGACGGGGCGCCAGGGTGACCCCTCTGCAGCGTGGCCCTGCTCGTGGGCCTGCTGTGCACGCCACCCCTCACCCCAGAGTGCTGGTCAGGGACACCTACTTGTCACTCCAGGCTCCATTCCATTCAATGTGGCCCCAGGGATTCCGGACCCGAATTAGTGTTTCCATCCTGCCATGGTACAACACCTGGGCGGGGAGTGGGCAAAGGTCAGGCACGCAGGGTGGGAGAAGCCCTCCTCCTCACGCCCCTCTGTGTGGGGCGCAGTGGTCAGACTCACGTCGTGCAGGCCGGTCACTGAGTAAGCATGTCCTTTCACCAGCATCTTCTGGGTCAACGTCTCCAAGTCGCTGTTGCTGGTGATCTATGAACAGAGAGGAAGGGAAGGAACTCAGGATCTGGTCAGAGGGACAGGGGCACCTGAAGAGAGGCGGGGACTCTCTGGGTACATTTTTTAAAAAATTGAACTTGGTATTTTCAGATGATTGTAGATTCACATCAGTTGTAAGAAATAGCACAGATCTTGTGCACCCCGAATCCAAATTCCCCCAGTGGTAGTTTTCCTGCAAAACTAGAGTCCTGTATCAGAACCAGGATGCTGATGTCGACGCAATTCACCAGTCTTATACAGATGTCTCCACTTTTGTTCGTCCTCATTTGTGTGTGTTTTATGCAATTTTATCATACGTGTAGTTCCCTGTATCTACCACCACAGCCAAAATATAGAACAATTCCATGACCACAAGCATCTTTTGTGTTTCCCTTTTATAACCGACATCCACCTCTTACTACCCTCTTCCCTGACCTCTGACAACTACTAATCTGTTCTCCATTTTTAAAAGTTTTGTCATTTCAAGACTGTCATATAAATGGAATCACACAGTATGGAACCTTTGGGGACTGACTTTTTTCATTCAGCATAATTTCCTTGAGAGTCACCGAAGCTGTTATATGTATCAATAATTCATTTCTTTTTATTGCTGAGTAGTTTCCCATGGTATGTATGCACCACAGTCTGTTTATTCACCCCTTGAAAGACATCTAGGTTGTTTCTGGTTTCTGGTTATTATGAATAAAGCTTCTTTGAACATTTGGGTACAGGCTTGTGTGCGAACATAAGTCTTCACTTCTCTGAGGTAGATGCCCAAGAATGCAATTGCTGGGTCATACAATGGCACTCTGGGTTTACTTATTTACTGGAACAAATATTGGTTGGGTCTCTATGGCATGCCAAGTGCCATCTTAAGTCCCAGGACTTAAGGTCACTGCCTTCATGAAATGTGAAATCTGTCTGGAGAAGATAGGCTGTGAATAAATACATACGTAAGTAAGACAATTTCAGATGGTGATAAATGTTAGGGAGAAAATCAAAACAAAGTAGAGAGGAAATGGGGCTCGGAGATGCTAATTTAGATTGAGAGGTAGGGAAGACCAGCCTGAGGAAGGGGCATTTGAATCAAAATGTGACTGAGAGGAGCTAATTCTGCAGGTATCTGGGGGAAGAAACTTACAGGTGAAGGCAACAGCAGGTGCAAAGGCCCAGAGGCAGGGCCAAGCACAACTTACTTCGATGGAACAGCCCATGAGGGAGGATCGCTCTATGGCCTTCCTAAGCATCCTCAGCAGGTTCTGAGGGGGGCTCTGGAGTTGGATGCTCTCAGTCACACCCCCCGTGAAGTCCTCAAAGCCCTCGACCGTGTTGCCCCCTGACAGTGCTTCATAGGATCCATTCAGCCTGTGGGCACAAAGAAGGCACTGTCTGGGCTCAGTTGTGAGGCAGTAGTGAGCTTGGACATCCGAGGGCGCAGTGAGGGAAAGGAGGAATGCCCTGCTGTCCCCCTGCCTCTTCCCCTGATTCCAGATGCCCCCGTCGCTGCCAGCTGTCAGGGCAGGCTTGGAGGCAAGCCCAGTCCCTTGGCTGGGGCACTCACTTGGCGTACGCCTTCTCCAGCAGGGCACTCCAGAACTCAGTGCGCTCGGCTGAGTGCACGAACACCAGCTTGCCATTCTTTGTGGGCAGCCGGTCATCCACCACCACGTCCACCCACTGCCCGAACTGCCAAATCTGTGGGCAGCAAGGTGGGACTCAGTGGGGTGTGGGGCCAAGCACGTACACACACATGCACACACAGACACACACCCACACACATCCATGCATATACACACCCCTCACACACCCCTCCTTGTGTGATGACTCTGTTATACGAGCGCCTCCTGGTGGCAGGTCCAGTGACACAGCAGTGACAGAGAGCCCATTCCCCAGAAAGGCAATCAAAGGCCTGAATCTGCCCCCAGCCTCGTCTCCGGGGTTTCTGCCGTGGCCTTCAGAGGGATCCACCTGCCTTTTGACCTAGCCTGGACTTTAGGATTTCTGAGGTCTTGAAAACTCTTGTGACTTTCAGAAAGATTTTATGACATGAGGATTTTGACCACATGTTGCTTAATTTTAAAGAGCAGATTACAAAAACTATGTGACAGAGACCGCAATGACATATACACTCATACACATACACACATGTCCATATACATATGTGTGTATCTACCGAGAGGAAGAGAGAGACACAGAAACAGAGACAGAGAGAGAAAAGCAGGAGGAACGGGAGAGACAGGAACTGATAACTATTTTCTTTGGCTTTAAAAAGTTAGCTTAACACAATTTCTGTAGTGAGATATTTCTCTGATAATTAGGCAAAAATCCACCCTAATGAATGTCATTTTTCAAAAAGAAGAGAAAAAAGGTAAACTTAAGAGTACATACTAATTCTTTCTCTTCCTCTCTCTCTCTCTCTCTCTCTTCCACACACACACACACACACACACACACACACACACACACAGAGGAACATACCACAAATAAACTCTGGCTTTCAAATGCTCTTCACCTGAAAATGGAAGATGCCAGTATAGTTTTTCTTGAAGCTCTGGCCTCTGGGCACCACGCGGTACAGCAGTTTGGGGTAGGTGGTCAGGGAGCCGATGGCAGCCAGCAGCCAGCAGTCCCCTGGAGAGACAGAGGAAGGGCTTCGCCCTGAGCACTCCCTTTTGTGTGTGAGAGGAGCTGGAGCGGCTCTGTGGCCCCCCTCCATAGAGATGCACCTCCCTCCGCCCTCCCACTAGGGAGGGTTCGGGGAGGAAGCAAGTAGGGAGAAGTGCAGGAGGGACAGGTGCTGGGGCTTCTCTCCCTCTTCCGTTAAGTAGGAGAGTCACAAATTAGGGCCAGCTGCATTTGTTTTGGGATTTGGGGAGAAGGTATTTTTGGCCTTGGTCTTGCTCCTCCCTCTGGGACCTGCCGTCTTCGGAAGACAGCCAATCACCTTCCGTCTTAAACAAGGCCAGCCCCCTTCCCCATGGCCCCCCACCTCTAGCCCATGATGACACTGGTGTAGCGATCAAGATGCCTCTCCCTGATGTCACCCCCATAATCCTGGAGACCCAAGGGACTCTATACCCTAGCTGGGACACAGGGGCAATATTCTTGGTCAGAGGTCATCTGTTGTCATCTCTCCCGGGATCTCAGGGAGATCATGAGTGGGTGGGGCTGTGGGCAGGGTGCCCAGTGTGGGTACTTGAGCCAGGCTAAGGCTGAGGACACTGGAAAGCTTCTGTGATTATCAAGCCCTCCTGACTGCCTGAGGTACCCTTGGAAGGAGGCAGAGGGTGGAAAAGGAAGGTTAAGGACATTCCAATCATTGTCAAAATGGCACCCAGGGAGAAGCAAGTTTTCTTCAGCCCAGGGCCCCTCCAGCCTAGTGAGCCCCAGCGGCAGCTGTGGGGCCTGAGGTCTCCTTGGCCTCTGCCCTGCCCACACCCTGTCCTTTTCCCTGCCACAATGGGACAGAATTCAGCCCCAGAGGAAGCTCCCCTTGGCCGTATCCCTAAAGATGCAATGAGGGGGTCTGGAGGCAACAGAGGGATAGGACTGGTCTGGGGAGGAAGGTGTGTCTGGGAGCCTGCTGGGGAGCAGGACAGTGTGGCACCCTGGCTTACTCCCCAGTGGTAGCATGTGAGGGTGCAATCCAGACGAGAGGAGGAGCAGGGAAACAGAAGAGGCCATCTGAACCTAGGGCTCCCAGTTCCCCAGCCTCAGAAGAAAGACACTCTGGCACTCCCCGACCTCAGCCCTCTTCCCCAAGTCACCCCTGCCCCCCAGCTTGCCTGCTTCCCACTCACCGAGTACCCCCTGGCAGATGTCTGTCGGGGAGACCCCATTCACAATGAATTGAGGATTGCTTGTGATTTGCTGCAGTGAGGGAATAAAGGTTTCAGAGAGCCAGGACACCCCCTCCCACCTCCCTGGGAAATGACACCTGCCTCTGAGTTTTAGGGGGAAACGAGGACAGGGAGGGGGCAGGAGGAGTGCTTGGCATAGTTTAGATTTTGATAGCAAAGGTCGATGAGTGACCCTCTCAGGGGTTATCTGAGAGGTTTTGCTGAAGTGTGTCCACAGCTGTCCCTGGCCCTGATGGAGGTGGAGTCTAGCCCAGGGCCAGGATAGGGTGGTGGGGGAGTGGAGATGATGCAGGGGACTGCTGCGTCACTACCACCCCCACCCTCCGTGAGTCTCTGCCTCCCCTCCCAGTGCCCACACTGGGTCGCTGCCAGCTGATGTTCTGCACATTTTTGGAGTTGGGGCCCAGTTCCTTGAAGCCCAGTGAACTGGGTTCGGCAGGGAATAAGGGGTCCTCGAACAGCTCCCCCTTCCGCAGGCAGATTGCTCGCAGCTCCTCAAAGCTCTGGTTGTCGTAGTTCCGGGCGTTGTGGTGCTGGCCCAAGCCCTTGGCCTTGAGTCGGCTCTGGTTGATGTGGGCCACCATCCCCTTGTCAGTGAAAACGGTCTCTGCTTAATAATAAAAAAAGACAAATAACCCCATTAAAGCACTGGCAAAGGACCCGAATAGGTGTTTTTCTGAAGAAGATACACAAATGACCAATGATCACATGAAAAAAATGCTCATCATTTGTCAGCAGACAAATGAAGGTCAAGGTCACAAAGAGATACCACCTCATACACATTAGAATGGCTCTCATCCAAAAGACTGGTAATGTCAAGTGTCAGCAAGGATGTGGAGCAATTGGAGCCCTTGTATGCTGCTGGTGGGAATGTAAAAGGGTGCAGCCACTTTGGAAAACAGTCTAGCGTTTCCTCAGTTAAACATAGAATTACTGTATGATCCAGATCCAGTAATTTCACCGCTAGGTACATATACCCAAGAGAAATGAAAATATATGTCCACACGAAAACTTGTACACACATGCTCATAGCAGTGTTATTCACAACAGCCAAAAAAGTGGAGAAAATCCCAGATGTCCCTCAGCTGATGAACAGATAAACAGATAAAATGAAGACTATACGATGTACAATGGAATATTGTTCAGCAATAAAGAGAAATAAAGATTGGTAGATACAAACTGCTATATGTAAAATAGATAAATAAGGCCCTACTGTATAGCACAGGGAACTGTATTCAATATCTTGCAATAACCTATAATGAAAAAAAAATATATGTATATCTGAATCACTATGCTGTACACCAGAACTAACACAACACTGTAAACCGACTGTACCTCAAATGAAAAAAAGAAATGAAGTGCTGAGACATGCTATGGTACGGATGAACCTTGAAAACCCGTCCCTTATCAGTGTCTCCTGGGACTTCGCTGGCTTCATGAAGGACCCTTGTTCCCTCAGCTTATTAGCCTGACAAACACCCAGCTGCCACGGACCAGCCCAGCGCCTTGGAGGACAGATTGCCTTTGTTTCTCAGGTGCACTGACTGTTCCCGCCTCTGTGCCTCTGCTCCCAGGCACACATCTTGTCCACTGGGAAAAGTCCCTGCTCAATGCCACCTGCTCAGGGAAGCCTTCCTGGACACGCCTGTGTGGAGTCAGGGCCGCCCTGGTGTCCAACACTCTCCTTTGTTTGGACACCCATCCCTGCTGGCCTGTCTGATGTGGTCTGTCTGTTCACTCTGAGGTGATGAGTTCTCAAGAGTGGAGATGGGGCCCCCTGTCCACCTTCAGGTTCCCTTGGTCTCATGCAGTTCCTGGCCCAGCAGGGGCTTGGAAACGCTTTCAGAGCTAATGGAGGCAGTGGGGATTGAACCCAGGACCTCGTGCATGCTCAGCACACCCTTAACACTGAGCTGTACTCTCCCCCAGTAATCTCTCATCTATGTTTGCGAAGCTATGTTCTCTCTCTCTCCTGCCCTGCCCACCCCCGGCCACTCTCCTCCTCTAGTCCCCCATATACTATATATTTTGTTTATCTGTGGCCTCCCTCATAGAATGAAACACGGCAGGCAGGGACTTTTTGGCCTGCTTTGTTTGCTGCTGTATTCCTGCTGCTGTATCGAGCACACAGTAGGTACTCGATAAATATTTTGAATGATGTTCCTGGCGGCTCCTGGAAGGGAGGAGGTCTATGTATCTTAGTTTCTCCCACAGGGAGCATTTATTCTGTGCGAGCACCGAGGAGTCAGAAGCAAACACTCCTCTGCCTGGCGCACAGAGAGGACCTCCCCAGGCCCCCTCCTCAGGTTCAGCTCCACAGGCCACAGAGGCAGGGAAGAGGGGCCCCAGAAAGAGCCACCAGGTTGGTAGAATTACCAGGGAGGTTCTGGAGGGTACTAACTGACTCTCCTTTTCTACTCTAAGCCCACCCGCTCTCCTGAGGGTGGGGTACACCATGAGTTCCTGGTTCTGGAAGATCAGGGTGCGGGGCAGGGAAGAGGGTGGGTGGAGCCAGAATCTGGGAGTTCTTCCCCCTCCCCTCGCCAGTCCCTGCCCACCCTGTTCCCTCCAGCTCTCTCTTCCAACCCAAGCCCTCTGGGCTTCTCTTAGGAATGAATGGTCAGGGAAGCGCCTTCCTACGCCATCAGACTAGGGGAAAATGAAGAAGGGTGTGTGTGAGTGTGCGCGTCTCTGTGGAGTGTATGTGTGTGTGTGTGTGTCTGTGTTTTTGGAGAATGTGTGTGTGTGGAGTGTGTGTGTGTGTCTGTGGAGAAGGTGTGTGTGGCTGTATGTCTGCGTTTCTGTTTCTGTACGTGTCTGTGGAGTATGTGTGCGTGCATGTCCGTGGAGAATATGTGTGTCTGGGGATTATTTGTGTGTCTGTGTGCATGTGGAGTATGTGTGGTGGGGTGGGGGGAAAATAAGTGGCTTGTTTTTCTGCCCAGAGAACCTGGGGAAAGGCTGTGAAGGGGACCTTGGGGGATGAAGAGAGTCCAGAGAGGAAGGACCGGAGAAGGAGGAGAATTCAAAACTTGTTTTGTTTCACTGCCTGGTCCTCACCCAGCGTTGCCATCAAGTGACGGGGGTGGCTGGAACCCAGGGCCTGCCCAGAGAAGGTGAGTCAGCGGTTCTCACTGAGGGTGGTGGCGGCGGCGACGATCACACTGTCAGGGAACACTTGGAGATGGCTAGAGACATTTTTGCTTGTCCTAGCTGGGGAGTGGGGTAAGGGGTGTTACTGGCATCCGATGTGTGTAGGTCAGGGACGCTGCTAAACATCCCACAGTGCTCGGGACAGCCCTCATGACAAAAAGAGATCCTGCCCCCAGGAGTGTGGAGGGGGAGAAACCCAGGTTGAGTGAATGGCCCAAGGCCCCACATGGTGAGGGAAGCCTCCAGCCCTTCCACCTTGGGGCTGCCTGGAGGCCTGCCCAGCTGCCCCCAGGAATGAGTGTGCGAAGCGCTCCAGGGTCTGGAAGGATCACAGAAGGTACTGGTGTCCAAGAAAACTGAGAACATCAGAGGGCCCACCCAGGCGGTGAGCGTTAAACGCCACCTCGCTCATCTCCCTGGAGCCCTCTGCCGATCATCACCCAGGCGAGGAGTCACTGCTCACTGTCCTGACTCCAAATCTGCTTAAGATCCCGCATTCTCAATCCTCCAGGTCTGAGCTCCCGACTCAGCGCCGGCAGGGAGGACTTGCACATACACTCCACCACAGTTACCCACAGAAATGTCTCCAGAGGGGGTGACAGAGCCCAGCCCCATCTCCAGGGCCAGGGTCCTGGGCAATCTGAGACAGACAGACAGATAAGGCTGGCTGTGGGAAGGACAGGCAGAGGCCAGAGCAGTAAGTGGAAACAAGGCGTGAATGGATAGGACTCCTTCTGTCCTGTGTGTGTACCATGTCTCCCCCCTCGGACTGGGAGTCAGTCATCCCTGGGGGTGGGGGCTGCAGCTCCCCTCTCCCTGTAGATTTAGGGACAGGTCAATTTCCAGAGCTGAGAGGAAATGAAGGTGTTGTCTAGACGGGGTTTGGTGTCTCCCCCTGGGCCTACACTTTTTAAGAAGCCTGGAGGCTGGGTCTAGGGTGCCCCTTATTTCTCTAACAGCCACTGGGCTTCGCTCACAAAAGCCTTTTTCCCGGGTGGCTGTGACAGTGGGGTGGCTGGACCCTGTCCTCTGACTCCAGCCTCTCAGTGGAAACAACGAGGTTGGGCTCCTGGTGGGTCTGTCTGTGGCCTGTTCTTCCCCAAACTGTCTGAGGAAGAGGCTCAGCTCCTGTGCCTCAGGAGCATCCAGTCTGATGGAGGAGTCACCCTCAAGGGGACACAGCCCCTTTCCTGGGGTTAGGCCCTAGTCGGCCGGGAGTGGGACAAGCCCCAACAGTGCCTACCTGGGGAGTGCAGCATGTTGGTGGCTCGCTTGGTGCTTGACAGTTGAAGGTTCTGGGGGGAGGGGCCAGAGGACCACTCCCCTCAGAACTCTCTAATTGCAGTGGGATTCTTCAGTCAGTGGCACATTTTTAACAGCTGCCTCCTTCCCACTTGTCCCCCACAGGCTGGGCTGTCAGTAACCGAGCCCCTCTTCATCTGCCCGGTCTCCGCCCACCAGTCCAAGGGCCATCTCCCTGCAGGGATGGGAGACTCAGCACCCCCACCTCAGAGGCCACCACCAGGCTGGCTGTCCACTCAGGACAAGTCTGAGTCCCTCTCCTTCAGTCCAAGTCTTCCCGGAAGGGACTGTCCCTGACACCCAACTGGACTTTTTTTTTACCTTGAAAGCCTTGTTTCCAGAAGCCACTGACATGGCATTCTCCTGTGCGTCTGTGTCTTCACGTAGCCTTCTCTGTGTCTCTCTTCTTCTTCTTGTAAAGACACCGGTCATATTGGGTTAGGGACCCGCCCATTTCCAGCATGGCCTCATCTTATCTAATTACTTCTGCAATGACCCAATTTCTAAATAAAGTCGCATGTGGAGGTTCTGGGGGTTAGGACTTAACATATCTTTTTGGGGACACAATTCAACCCATGTCATTCTTCTTGGCATAATTAGGCCATTGGCATGCCTCAGAGTGGGTGATGATGGTGTTTCTGGCTTAACTCAACAATCTCCGGGGAAGGCACCTGGTACCATGCAGGCCATCTGGGCCTAATTGTGGGTCCTTGAGTCATCACTCCTCTTTCCACGTCAGTTTTCTCAGATGAACAGTAAAAGGTTTGAATGAGACAAGATATCCTGCCTTTAAGCTCCCATAACATCCTAAGATTTTCTTCCACCCTGTCCTAGCTCCACTGTGTACAAGTTGCATTCGCTGGTTCTACAATTTCCTCAGGGCAGGGGGCGGAGGCAGAGGTGACAGAAATGCAGGGAAGGGTGGCGGCAAGTTTGGCACTGTGAATATAGCAGGCCCGTCCTGCTGCTCTCTCCTCTTCTGGACGGAGAACTGAGGCTCTACTCAAGAAGTCTCTTGCCCAGGTCATGTAGGGACTCAGACCCCACAGGTCCTCCAGACCAACAGAAGGGTGGCTGGACCCCAGCCATGTGTCCAGGGCAGCAGCACAAATCAGACACCTGCCTCTGAGCTTTTCAT